TCAGGGTTTAACCACCCACTTTCCTGTTACATGGCCGATGTTGCGCGAGACGTTACTGGGAGGGAGCCGGTACAGATCGTCGGCCTGGGTGGTACGGACTGTAAGTTTTATCGCTATCGCGGTGTACCGGCGTTTGTGTTTGGACCTTCTCCAAGCGGGATGGGTGCAGATGGTGAAGCTGTACTCATTGAAGAGTTCATGACTGTCATCAAGACACATACACTGGGGGTCTTCCGGTATCTCTGGGACGATGAAAGGTGGGATTTCAGTAGGGGATTGGGAGAGAACACTCCCACAGGCGAGAGAAGGGCTCTCGAGATCAGAACCCGCAAGTAAAATATGGTGTAGGGGATTGGCCTTCAACCTTCGCTGTAGTTATGTCCGAATCAATGCGCTTGAATGAGACACTGCTCCAAAGAGTACCGAGATGTCGCTGTAGATGTGATGCCTCGGCGAAGTTTATGACGGCTATGTACTTGGCCATGCGCATGTGGGGTGAAGTAGTGACGGTCCGCGCCGAAGCACAAGCGCAAATATATAGGACGAGTAATCATGTGGACGCTACAGCCGGCCAAGACCAGACGGACAACGCGCGATGCGATAGTTTAACTTTCAGAAATGAGTTCGTTCACGGCGCTGTGGCGTATTAGTACTAGATGACAGCTGTTGCACAACTTTGTCAGTTCTGGCAGCGACGATCAATACAACATACCGAAAGACTCCGCGGACCTAAGGAAGTACCTCTCACTACTTCCGCGAACTTCCGCCTGATCAACACATCCAGCTCCGACAATGACATTCAAATCCCAAAGCAGCCATCGGCACATGAAACTAGCGGTGTCTGGAGGCCTAACGTCATACCTGGGTATCCGATGACGCTCGTGGGTCCTCCCCAGTACAAACGAGATAACAGGCGCAAGTCCAAACACACAACGGCATTGACATGTCGCAACTGGATCGGCGGCATCACCAAAAAAGGCAGCAGATACAAAAGTTAAGGAAAGGCTCGACACTTCGCTTCATCAGTAGTCCAGACCCAGCTAGCGCACTTGTCTCCAGCGATCGGCCCTCGTGGTAACCGAGCGGGAAGTGGAGACCAATAAAATACAGGGGTCCAGCTGCCCTTAGCTGACACCGGCACACACGGTCTGACGGGACCAGCCTGCATACGGAAGCCATCCGTTCTCCTGTTTTCCTGGCCTGAAATTTCGGTTCCCGTCATTAATATCCTCAGATACGTCGTCTCGAGAGGCGCTTTTTGTTTTGCTTCTTCCTGCGAATCCTTCACGATCCTTCACGATCCTGCGATTACTATTCCATGCCAATCATCGGCCGCATATCTCTACACCGCCGACATAGCTCCGCCCGCCCCCATCGCATACCCTGAACACCGAATCCAGAACCCAGAACCAAAATGCCGGGAACTACAATGACGAAAACGAGTGCTTACCCCTACATCCTCACCACAGTCGCGACACGGAAAGAAGGTGTCTCCCGCGCAGAATTCTATCAGCACAACGAGGAAAAATACGCACCTTTACTCAAAAAGATCGCGGGGAAAGTGCATCCGTTGTCCTGGACGCGGCACTACCATGTTGACGACGAGGAATGCCCGATCGGGATCCCGCGGGTGTTGATCGGGGTTGATGACGGGATGGATTGGGATTGCATGGGTACGATGGCGTTTGAGGACGAATTGCATTTGCAGCAGTTTATTGCGTTTATGCATAGCGATGCGGCGATTCCGGTGCTGGAGGAGGAGGAGAAGTTTGCGGAGCCGACGAAGACGAAGTTGTTGGTTATGAAGAAGGGGATTAGTGTGAGGGAGGGTTAGATGGGCGATGGGTTTGGGGCGTTTGGGACGGGACGGAAAAGTGGAATTGGAAGCAAAGCTGGAACATGGTCTTTGGGAATGCAATTTGGTCAGAATAGGATGTTTATATTGGGTTATTGAGGATAGTTGACTTATGATATGGAGGGACGTAGTCATCACGAACTGCAGTCAAACGGCAGTACAAACATCCATCCCTCTCTCACAACTGACTACGAAGGAAGCCAGTCCCCATCCCAGTCCTCCCTCCTCATAGCCGGCCCCCACGAATCCCCCACACCCGTATCATTATCCCAATCGTCATAGCCATCCTGACATAACATCGGAACCCTGTCAATCGCCCTCTCCAGAGAAACATCTCCTTCGACCTGTATAATACCGCCATCTCGGATCCATATATCGTGCGGAAAGTGCGGCATCTCCCCATGATGATACATATGTCGAATGTGTCTGTGATTGATCTCGGCAAAGCATTGGAACTCTTCCTCGTTCTTGTAAGATGTGCGGGTGACGAACACGGATACGACACTGTTATCCCACAGCCCGCCGGCTGCGTCGTGGAAACGGTCGTCACCGGGACGGTATCTAGCTTTAGCAGCTTGATGCAGGAAGCGAGCGATGTTGGATGCCTTGGCGGGATCGGTAGGTCGAAGTCCACTGGACTTGGGTAGTCTCTGGGAAATGGCTTGGATGTCGGACTTGTCATCGTCTTCGACGGCCATGCGTTCGCGGGGGATTTGTGACATGAGATAGTCGAGTACCTTCCTCTGTCTCATCTTTGTTCCAGCTTTGCCGAGCTCGATGAGCTTTGTTGGTGACTCTTCCACGAAGTGTTGGACTAGCTTGTTTACGATGGCGTGAGCTTCGAGGTAGATTTGCTTGCTCGTACGTAGTATGGCAGTCGGCAGATGTCTTGTGACTAGGACAGCCACTTCTCCGTCTATTGAGACCACGGTGTGTTTGATCTGGCGTGGCAGGCGCTCGTAGACCATTAGGCGCAGTTCCACGGGAAGATTCATGAATGGGAAAGAAACATGTTGGTTGGTCGACATGTCGGTGGCTAGGATGATGTACGGGTTGCTCTTAGAGATAAGGGATCGTATGCAATGATTGATATTTGAAGAGATCAAGGTACTGACTGTACTCACTACGCCAATGGCTGCAAGCTTCAGTGCCCAAGGATGGATGAAAACAATTGTGGATTAGCATCAAGATCATATATGCCGGTATCAATGGAAGAGTGATAAGGTCTGGATAGGTATGGCGATGAGAGAAACCCTATCGGAGTGTTTACAAATCATTACCGTGCCGTCACAAGGACCACGGGTAAGCCGGAAAGAGCGATGCCGGATAATCTGTAAGAGGGCTGGCGAAAATTGGACGAATAGACGGGCAATTTACGTCGGATCGCCGGAAGCAGTTATAAAGCGAGATGCAGCTAGTCAGCCCAAGCTGCGAAGGTAGATACTAATGCCCGTCGAGAGGCCGTGAAAGGTGAGATGATCACGTGACAATTACCACATTCATGCAACGATTGCGAGATACGTGAGAGCGGAATCCGGATAATTGTATCGATCGGTCCTTTTGGACGGTACTCCGACTAGCCTGTGAGCACCTTATCAAAGGAAAGAGTTAGAGACCCTGCAGTCTACATTGGTTTTGCAAACAAAAGATGGCGAACTTTCAACGGAATGTACACTCCTAGGTTTTTTACTTCCATCGTTCTCTATGCACGGGCATTCAATCTCTCCCTTAATGGGCATATGGGTATTTCTCACGAAGAAGCCACCCAATTACCAATCCAGTCATCCCGGCTCATACAAGTCTCCAAGGTCAAGGTCCCATCCAGATCGAACTTGTCTATGTTGAGTTTGACAGGAACGTTGTTTGCGGTGACTTTGTACTCTTCGTTGGGAGCATATGCGATGGTACCCTTCACTTCTGTGCGAACGAAATCGCCGAGACCAGACTCATATACCCGACGAAACATCTCTATCACGCTCGCAGGAGTTGGTGGGGGTCCAGGGGCGATGCTCCGGGAATGCTGCGTACGCAGCGTGTCCATCACGTTCTCCTGCTTCTCGAAGTCTACTGTAGCGATTTTGGCGACCCAGATCCCGGTGTCTGGCGTTTTCGCTAGTGAAGTTTGACCAAAGAAGATTGCAATGTCGCGCGGTCGTTTGGTTTCCCATGTTTGAGAGGCAAGGCACGGGTGTCGCTGAATGGCGTCGCTCACACGGTAAGGCTGACCAGTCTACGGTTGCGTCAGCTTCGAGCTTCAAAGAATGGTAATGTGAGATCGACTTACCAAAAGCGCTCTACGCTCAGTCGCTATCAATGTGGTGAGTACAAGAAACGCGTTCCCATTGTCCTTACGGCCTATGGTCCGCGGCATCGACTCTGTCACAAAGCTTTTGATCAGAGCTGCGACGATACTGTGCGCCTCGGCATAGACCTGGCGGCTCGTCCTTAGGATAGCGACTGGGAGGTGACGTGTGATCAAGATGAATGTTGAATCGAGTTTCACTTCCGTGTCGGGCCACGAATAGCCCATATAGCGAACCTCAGTGTGCTTGATCTGACGGGGCAAACGCTTGTAGATCATGAGGCGCAACTCTGACGGGAGGTCCATGAAGCGAAAGGGCTTCGAGTGATCCTGCGTCGACATCGTGATGGCACTTCACACGAGGAAGACGCCGAATAGGGCAGAGCCTGCGTTGCAGTTAGTTCGCGTACTATGCACGTTTCAGCTTAATGTAGGCTGCAAACCTGTTTGGTGGTTTCCTTGCACAAGGTGATAGTGTACTCCAGAGCTGTAGTGGGAGATCGTTTCGCTTCGGTATAAGGTGCGCAATCTTGGGGGGAGATAGGAATCGCGTTGTAGCGATTCAGCGATTGAGGGGATGTTAAGATCGAAGTGAGGACGAGGACGAAAGTGAAGGCAGCTCTGGCAAGAGCAACGGACTCTAGCGCCGCTTGGCGGACGAAATAGGTAGTGGCAGTCGCGACTAGCAGTAACACGTGCGCGAAGACGCTGGTGAGAAGATTAAGAGTTAAACATACTAATCAGACAAGTCGGAGAAAGATCAAATATACCATCTCCTTACCTGCCCGAGATATCATCAAGGTTAGCCATCCTTGCCGGCCACCAATACCCAACACACCCCGTCTAAACCTTCATCCACAGCGCCAACACACCCTTCGCGTACTCAACGATCTCATCACCGCCAAGCTTGCTCTCACCGTACAACCTATCAACGAAAGAGATGGGCACTTCCGCAACGGTACACCCCATAGCCTTCGCGCGCACCATCATCTCCATCTGGAACGTATACCCCTTACTCTCCGTCTGCCTAATAACCTTCTGCAACACCTCCTTCTTATACAACCTAAAGCTGCCCGTAAGATCACTCACACCCGGCCTGAGCACCGTATCCGCAAAAAGATTCGCCCCCCTCGACACAAACTTGCGCTTGAGATCCCAGCCAAACACGCCGCCATCGCCCGCATACCGCGTACCAGTAACAATATCGTAGTTCTTGGTCTTTTGCAAAGCGATCATGGGCGCGATGAACTTGGGGTGGTGGCTGAAATCCGCGTCCATGATGATGACGAAGTTTCCGGTTGCGAATTGCAGGCCGTGGACGTAGGCGGTTCCGAGGCCGAGTTTGCCGGCGCGCGCGCGGATTTGGATGCGTGAGGGTGTGTAGGCTTTTTGGAGCTGGGCGGCGATTTCTTGGGTGCCGTCGGGGGAGCCGTCGTCGATGATGATGAGTTCCCAGTCGAGTTTGCTATGGACGGGTCGTTAGTTGTGGCATTGCGTTATGAGGGGCTGGGTGTTGCGACGTACTTCTCCTCGAACGTCTTGGCCAGCAGCCATGTTATTATGGGCAGGTTGCGGCGCTCGTTGTAGGTGGGGAGGAGCACCGAGTACTTGTTCGTGTTCGCCATCTTTGCAATTGCGATTGCGTGTGTGAGTGGTGTGTCTGCGGAATTGGGGGAATGAGCGACTGCAGGTGAGGGTCGACGTTGGGGGAGTTGAGGATTCGCGGAGGTGATCGTGTCCGCAAGTAGCTCGGGGCTGTCGGCGGACCCTGGACTAGCCTCTTTGGACCATCTCCTTCCGCAACGACATGGGCCAGTTTGGGTGGCCTTACACGTCGATGTAATGTTGAATCGACATTCCCGCGCCAATTAGAAGGAGATTTGATCGGTGCTATCGAATTTGTAGGGTAATGCCGGTCGATACGCCGGATACCCTCTCACCATGTCACCCACACCCCAGAGGAAAAACCTCTTCCTCTGCCTCGACGCCTTCGGCACCCTCTTCACACCCACGAAACCCATCCCAATAACTTACGCCGAAGCCGCCCTCAAGCACGGCATCGTCATAAACACGCCCGAACCCGCCACCCAAGTATCCTCATCCTTCAAATCCGCATTCAAGCGCCTATCATCAGAGCACCCAAACTATGGCCGAGCAACAGGCATGGGTGCAGAAAAATGGTGGGCCAAAGTGATAAAGGAAACATTCACGCCCTTCCTCGCTGCAAACCAAACCTTCCCCAAGTACCTCGTCCCAGAGCTCCTCCACACCTACTCGTCGCGTAAGGGGTATACCATGTACCCCGACGTCCTCCCTTTCTTCCACATGATACGGCACATGAAAACCCATCGAATACATCACGGCGCTGCTCATGGACTCTGGCCGTGGGACAAAACCATAGTAGGCATAATCACAAACTCCGATGACCGCGTCCCAGGAATATTAGCTTCCTTCAATGTCAACATGAGTCCGCGGCGTTATAGTGGTGTGGCTGCCAGTCCTCTGAAAACCACAGTCTCAGAGCCATCGAAGAAGAAGAAGAAGAGGAAGGAGGCGGGAAAAGAAGACGACATCGATTTTACAGTCCTATCCTACGATGTTGGGGCTGAGAAACCCGATGGAAGGATTTTTGCGGCGGCGGAAGAGATGCTTGCTGCTACCCTAAACGACTCTTTCAGTTCCAGCTCCGATACTCCACCACCCGTTTCCTCGTTTGAGAAAATTTACGTAGGCGACGACCTTCAAAAAGACGTGTTCGGCGCGCAAGACGCAGGCTGGTCGAGCGTATTGCTCGAGAGAGATTCAGCTGCCCTGGGTGGCCAAGGGTATGGGTTGAAGATGGAAGAAAAGGGCGAGGATATTGGAGAAGGGGGAGAGGTAATCAGTGAGACTAAGTTAGTGTCACAAGTGGGCTCCTTGCTGGATCTGTGTGCGTGGCCACGACAGGTATCGGAACGGCGTGAAGTATCGCCCGTCCGATATGTCTATATAAAGGAGGAGGTCCCTGAACATGGATCACCAGGGCAGAAGAAGGGCCGATCACGAAGCCGGACGTGATTTGCATGGCGCTGCTTGGTGAATTGAGAAATTATACAGTCGATTACAAGTCCATCAATCATTTGCAACACCCAAACATCACTTTTCCTCACTCTGATTCCACACACTCGTCACATCAGCAAATACCATCTATTGTATCATACGTCTCATTGCAGTTCATTCCATGTCAGTCGACAATCCAACCTCCAACCACCAAGTCGCCAGAGACGAAAGACACTAAAGTCCGCATCTTGTCCACCAAACCGTCATACCCCATCCACATCCATACCACCAACCCATCTTGCCATTCGTGCCGAAGCCCCACCGCAAAAAGAAACATACGAAACATGATCATGTACAGAATCCACCAAACCGACCAGAGCCAAAAAAGGCACCGAGCCAAGTTGTTATCCAAAGCCCCCTCCAAACCCTTGATTTTCGCAGGATTCCGTTTGCCAATTTTTGCGCCTGAAAGGTAATGCCCGACTGTGGTTTTCCGCGTGGTATTAAGGTTTTGGGTGACATCGTGGTATTGGAATTCGACTCGTGGCTGACCGTTATAATGCAAACAAAATGTGTGATTTGCTACACGATGAGAAACTACCTCATTCGAATGCGCGTTGGAAACGGATGTTCTTGTGTCACAACTCCTCGTCCTCTTCCATCTTGGTTTCGATGGTGGGGATGTTCCCGTCAGAGTTGGCTCGGCCTTGGTTGTGGGCGTCCATGAGGGCTTGGCCCAGGCTCTTGCGCACGTTGTCGTCGAACCCGGGTAATGAAGCGCGCTGCTTCTTATAGGGTGAAGCGATTGAGTTTGTGCTGGGCTCTCCGGAGGTGTTCGCAGCGGCTGAGGATGATGCCTCTCCTGTCGACGCGTTTTCTGGTGCTGGTGTACCAGAAAGAGGAGATCCTGTCGAGTCGGAGTGGGAGGGTCCTGCGGGGCGGCCGAGAGGTTCTGCGGAATGTTGACGCTTCAACTGTGATGTGTTAGTAGACGAATTTCGAGCGACAACAATATACATACCTTGATCTTGCGCACGCCCTCTGCAAGTTCGCCTTGCCTGTGAGCATCCTCAGGCGACAGCAAGCCCTTGTCGAGAACCTCCTTATCGTCATCCGCGTCCTCCACCTTGACATCGTCCTCGTCGTCGGCGTCGCTGTCCATGGCGTCCTCCGTCTTCTTCTTAGACTTGGGCGAAGTCTCTCGGTAACCTCCAAAGTTCTTTGTTCCAGCGGCCGCGTTCAGAGGCTTCAGACTGCCAAAGTCGAGTGCGCCAGATTTCCGCTTGGTCTGTGGCGAGGTGATCTTGGGCGTCTCCTTGGTGTTCAGAATACCCATCTTCCGCAGTTGACCTGTCATTGGTTAGCGAGAATCTTGTATCCCTTGCTGTAAACTTACGCTCTCCGCGGTACAAAAAGGTAAAGACGGCGTAGGGCTTGTCCGGGGGATCTATTCCAGTCACAGTCTGGGTGCTGATGGACTTGGGGTCCAGCGTCTTAGGCTTTGCGAAACTCGTTGTGTGGTCAACGTCTTCGCCCTCTCCTCCTCCGTTTTGCTCGTCGTCATCGTGTGCGTCGAACTGGGGCGAGTACTCGCCGCGCTTGATCTCTCCAGACGCCAGGACGCGGAACAGGGCGACCTTGATTTGTCCCGCTGCCTCGGGCATGGGGGGCTCGTCGTCCGAATCGGAGTCGGTGGTGAAGAATTCGTCGTTGCCGGAAAGCGTCTCGACAGGCGCGTCCTTGCTTTCGCTGTAGCGCAGTACACCGTTGCCGGAGGTCTTCTTGTCCTCATCGCTGCTGTCCATGGCCTCTCTCCGTTTTGCCCGCTTCTTTTCCAGGCGCTGCTTTCTCCGCTCAATCTTGGCGGCCACGTCCTTGTCCTTGCCCTCGAGATCCAGACCGTTGAGCCATCTCTCGAGACCGACCTCGCGGAAGAGGAACTCGCGCTCTGCGAGACCCCCGCCTTCTGACTCTGGCACGCTGACCCACCGTGAGTTGACCCACGTCTCTTCGCCGCGTCGCAGCAGTGTCGCTACTTCCTCCTTTGCCCGACCGTCAAAGTATATGTATGCAGCGATTGTCTCGTTCGGCGAGGTGGTCAAGGGCTTGTACGGGGCTATCGTGGGACCGTACTTGCCCCGCTCTCCGGTTTGACCTGGGAGGCCCCCGACAATCTTCGCTTTCGGGTTGGGGTCATCGTCAGTTGGCTTGGGCGTCGAGTAGGGCACGTGAAGACCTGGGGTGAGCAGAGTGATCGATATCGCGAAAGAAGACTGCTCAGGCTTGGTAGCGCCCGGCGGTATCTTTGCGGGTGGGACAGGGATGTACGAGGTGATGCGGTGATGTTTAGATTGCTTCTGTATCGAGTATTCTGGGAGCGGGTTGCTGTCGGCATGGATGCTGACGGCGAGGCCTAGAAAGGTCGGCATTTTGGATTAGGCGTGGTGAGGACGACTGCGAAGCTGCGGAGATGGCAGCGGAAGAGCCCTAACACAGTAGTCTTGGCAGAGTTGGGAGGGAGAAAATATCCCTGCGAATAGAGCGGCCACCGGAGGGGCAGCTGCGCGAGTAAGTAGGCGAAGATGGGCTAGGAGGCGGTGTGAGGTAGCGACTCTGAAGGTCTGTGTTGTTGGTTTAGGCGGAGAGCTTCCGTAGCGGGCGCTCCACGATGTTGGGGTCCACAAGTCGAGCACCCAAGTCACGAGCCAATCACGCGTGCACCTGATGTTTTCTGCGAACTTCAAAGAGCCGCCATCTTTCACGGATGTATCTGTCAATATCACGTCAAAGATATGCTGCGACCATGCGTTTGGACAGGGGATCGAATCAAGGGGCGTGCCTGTCGTCGATCGAACGTGGGGTCATGACTAGCGGCATGGCACCAGCCTGTTCGTGCCTTCCAGTTGAAGGGAGCCCTGGCAGATACGCGTTGAGACTTCATGTGTACGAACGACTCAACTTTCATCAACACGCGTTGCCCATACATCCCGAGGCCATGAGCCAACAGTATGTGGGGTTAAACTCTCGTACTATCTCAGATTTTCAAAGACAGCGGTCGGCATTCGAATTCCTCATCACCGCTCTTTACTCGCCGATGTCTCCACTTTCTGTCTATCTAGGGTATCATACAGTTCCTTAGTCCTTTTCGATCAACGCGAAGAATCCCGTCTTATCTTGGGCGCACAAGGCGAGCTTGAGTAAAAATTTAGCATCTTCGTGACGAGATGCCACCACCTCCCCTCCGCCTCCCCCACCCACCCTTCATGCAGTTCCTTGGTCGTCCGACGCTGACATGCCCCCTGACTGCGAGTCTGACCAAGAAGTTGGAGAGGATGAGTAGCATCTTTGTGATGAGATGCCACCCCCCGTCATAGCGACCGATCACCTACTCAATCCTCTCCGTCGGCCCTGTCCAAACCAAACCTGATCATTAAACAAGAACCTATTCTCTGCTTTTAGTCTCGGCCTCGCTGCCAACCCAGGAGCCATCTCTGTCTGTGGGCTTGAGCTTGCACAAGGACGATCAGACTCCTAATCCTCCTCGTCCAAAGCAAACATATCCTCAGCCTTCGGTCTCAACCGCCTCGCCCTCGCAACAACGGTCTCCCCAGGTATCTCAACGACCTTTGGCGGATCCGCAGGCACCACAACCTCCGGGGCGACGACTTCGTCTTTGACTGCAGCCTCAGCCTCCGCTTCAGTAACAGGTCGCTCAGGCTCTTGATTCGCAGCAGGTGACGGCGATCTAAACTCATCTTTCGTATCCTCGGCGCCCTCATCCAGGTCCATCGTCTGCTCACCGTCTTCACCCTCCTTGTCCGCCTCAGAATTAGCCGGTTTCCTAACAACAACCCCCTTCCTCCTCCTCTTCTCCGCCGCCCTTCTCTGCACCTCCACCTCCTCCCTCTCCCTCTCCCTCCGATTAAACTTATCATCCAACTCCTTCAACGTCTTCTCATCAAACAAATGATCCCCCGTCCACACCGCCAAAATCGCATTAACATCCTCCCTATACGTCCTTTCGGTCATCCGCCCCATCTCCAATTTCTGCGGCAACTGCTCAAGATGTTCAAAGACTTTGCGTTCAATAAGCTCTGTCCCGATGGCTAGACGGTATTTATAGGAGACGCCTGATTCTTTTGCGGTGACGAGCAGGACGTCGGAGACGATGCGGAGCGCGTTTAGGGTGACTTGGCGGAGGTCCGGGCGCCGGATGTCGTCTTTGACGGCTGCGTCGCCTGCACGGTTTCGTGTGTTGGCGTCGGTGAGCTGGAAGGGGTTGATGATGTTGGAGACGAGGATGCTGGTTACTTCGTCCATGCCCTGGGCGGCGTGTTCGACGGCAAAGGTGGAGATGGCGGCGAGGTCGTCGTAGACGATGCTGCCGGGTGGGATTGCGTTGATCATCCACAGGAGCATCGCTCGTGATCTGGGGTTCATAATGCCGTGGCCATTGTCCACGCGGCCGGGATAGTTGTCGCCCACGGGTAGAGGCTTGAATATCGGCTTCTCCTTCTCCCCCTCGTCATCGCTATCCAGACTTTCGTCGTCTGATTCGAAAGCGCCAACGTGGTCGACGAACTCGTGGCGGAGCGGATCGACGGGGCCTTTCCAGGCGCCTTGCCCCGCAAAGATCTCGGAATCGGTGCTGTTAGTGACAATCTGGTGTAGACGCCAACGGTAGTACCGGTTGACGGGGTGCTTCTGATCGTAGAGCCATGCGAAGCGCTCCTCTTCTTGTACTTGCGGCTCGTTCATCAAGGCCGCTTCGAACTCTACACCACCAAGAATGACGCCCTCGATAGTCTGATGTACCAATCTGAGTGTCGCGAGATCGGGAGGCTGGTTCGCAGTGATGATGAGATCTCCAGTGTTCTCGCGCGGCCCTCGACCCCCTCCCCCTCCACCAAGATCTGGCGGCGGCGCAAAACCCTTGGGTAGCTCGGGTGCCTGCCACCGTGCGCCAAATGCCTTTGTCTGTTGTGTGGTGTCTGCTGTGCGACTACCCAGATATCTGTCCAGATGTAGATAGTAGCCCTTGCCCAGATACTTCTTGTCGTTGAGTTTGTTCATCGCAGCGTCGAGGTCTCGCGCGTTGGCATCCTTGTCAAAGGTGATGTTCATCGTCGCTGAAGGCCTGCCCTCCACCCTCGAACCTTGTGGTATTCTGTCGACTCGCGCGATGTTGAGTGTGGGGAAATCGGCGAACAGCTCTTCGACGCGTCGCGAGTCTATCTCAGGCGGGAGGTTCGACGCTTTCGCTACAACCGTGGTGTAGAAGTTCTCGGTCTGCTTCGGGCCATCGAGTGCCGCTGGGCCTGTAGGTACTGCTCCTCCGAATCGTGACTGTATCTGTGGTGCAAGGCGTCCTGGAGGTGCGCCTGGTCTGTTATAGCCGTCGAGAGGCTCCGTTTCGAGGGTGCCGGGGCCGCTCTTCATCGTGCGCTGTCTGCCTGTGAAATGTCTCTTGCTTCCCGTGGGAACAAAGACATCTTCCTCTTCCTGCTGCTCAACCTCGCCCAGTATACTCTTCTCGGCTCCATGCTCCGCCTCGAAATCGGCCATGACCTTGTCGAGCGCATTCTTCTCCTCGCGCGCCTTCGCTTCCTCTTCCTCCTTCGCTTTGGCGTTCAATTGCGCCTTGTTGGCTTTCGCGGCGCCTAGGGAGAACTTGAAAGCCATGGTGGCGTGTGATCAGTTAATCGCCGCGTTGGAAGAGTCCATGAGGTGATTGCGGCATGAGGTGGTGGTGAGGTTGCGCGCAGTGCCAACCAGAAAGTTAAGCTTGCGCGTGAGGGTCCAGACTAGCGTCACGCCCAGGGCTTCCCCACGGCCCCGGGAATCTCCAACAACGTCATGCCACGGCCACAGTACCACGGAAACCAGACTATCACCATGACCTCGGCACAAGACGTTCAATCGCTCCTGCGATTCCTATCGCAAGACGCCAAAGTCCCTCTCGCCCAAGCTCTATCCAAAATCAAAGACCTCCAAGCAGCGGACCTCATCACGTAAGCACGTGACAGCGTATCACCGCGTCACTTCCCTATTGACAACCGCGCAGTCCATCAGACATATCCAAGTCCTCCCACGAAACCCTCAAAACCATCTTCGCCGACGAGAAAGTCGCGCGTTCTGTCCTCAATGCCGCCAAACGACAGTCTAAAAAGCGCACCGCAGATGCTGCCTCTACCACACCTGTGCCTGTGTCAAAGAAAGCCAAGACAACTTATGGCCAACCTCTGGACGGCGCGGATCTTGAGGCTTCGCTCGCGCTGCCAGAACCTGAGTTAGATGAGGAGATACTTAGCTCATCTGTTGTCTATACGAATCGCGCACCGCTAGTCCTCGCTTTCGCAGTGACACTACTCAAGTTCACCATGCCAAGCCAACCTACATCAAGTCGCCTGAGCCTAGCACAAGCCGTCACATCTATGAACAGTAAGACCAAAGCCGTGAACATTGGTCTTGAGAAGGGTAAGCCAGCGGAAGAAGAAGGCTGGGGCGAGGGACAGCCGCTGGTACGTATTATGACAAGGGAGGTGAGGGTGATGAAGAGGTGGGGTTACGAGTGGGAAGATGAGGCGGCGCAGAAGACTGTGAAGTCTGAGGGAGGTGATGAAAATGGGGAGGAGACGAGGGAACCGGCGCTCTGGGGCGTAGATCTTGAGGCTTTGAAGAAGGCACAGAATTCGAAGGTTGGCTCGAGTAACTTGCCCATCTATACTGCACAGAGCGCGAGGGCATATCTAATGAGGGCGTTTGAGACACCCGCTGCGGAATTAGTCAAGAAAGAGGATGGTGATGTCGACGTCAAGGTCGAGGGAGCGCCAGCACCGAAACCAAAGGGAAAGAGGACAGCTGCTACCATTGCAGCGGAGAAAGAGCGGAACTTAGGGCTTTTGCTGGGCGCACTGGAAGTCTTGTATGGGTCATGGGCAAAAGTGCTGAGTAAAGAAGACCTGGATAAGCGGGCTTGGGGCTGGTATGTTCGCGTTCGACCAGAAGTAGCTCGAGGAGCTGCGGGGTGGGGTGGCAAGGGGAATGTCAAATTAGCTGATATACTGGCTTTGAGAAGACCGGCTATTTGATGAGAAGACACAGGCATATTCAAGATACCCCGATTTATTTACAACTTCTCTGCCATCTACTTGAATTTTCTACTTCTACAGCTTGAACTCTGCATTACTCCGCTCCCAACCCACTCCACCACCATCCCTCCGTCCTGCCAACCTCTCCGCTAAGCCGAGTTTCTTCTCCCTATTCCTCTCCGTACACAACTCATAAACCGTGCTCAAGTTCAACACCAGTGAGTGGAACGGCGAACTATCGTCGACCAGCTGACTGAGTATATCCCTAGCATCCGATATCCGACCCGTGTAAAGTAAACAGACAGCAAGATTCTGCGCTACCATCGCATCTTCAGGAA